GCAGCGCGTCGGCGACCGCGTCGAGGCGGCGCTCCGCGGCGCGCCCGTCGACTCCGGCGACGGCGCCGCGCTCGAGGGCCGCCGCGTCCTGGTCATCACGGGCGCCGGCGCGCAGTCGCGATTTTTGCGCGGCAACTACTTTTTGGGCACGAGCGACGACGTCGACGAGGCGCTCGGCGTCGATTGTTCGCTGGCTCTCGCGGCCGCGCGCCTGCGCTGGGCGTTCGTGAGCCTGAACGTCACGTGGCCCGTGGCGTTCCACTTCCACGGTGCCGCGCAGCGTCCCCCCCCACCGGCGCGAAACCCGACCCCGTCGTCCGTAGGCACGATCCCGGAGGACACGGTCGTCGCGCGCGCGGAGACGTCGCGCCACGCGCCGGCCGCGTCGGCCTACCTGCGCCGCGTCTTCGGCGCGAACTTCTCCGAGGCCGAGCACGAGGTCGACATCGTCTTCATGGGCGTCGGCTTCTCCGGGAAGAACGGCCCGGGCCTGCCCGAGTGGCTCACCGCGCTCGCCAAGGGCCGCGTCGCCATCGTGGACCCGACGCCCTCGATCGCCAGGGAGCGCCGCGTCTGGCTCAGCCAGTGCGCCATCTCCGAGTTCGAGCACGTCCCCGCGACGTGCGAGGCCTTCCTCGGGCCGCTCCCGGCCGGCGCGACGCCGACGCCGGGCGCGGTCCAGGCGGCCTTCGAGACCGAGGCCGTCGCGCGGGCGAAGATCACCGAGGACCCCACGGTGATGGGCCTCATCACGAGCATCTTCACCGGCAACGACTGGCGCGAGCCGGCGACGTCGCGCCGCCGCCGGTCGTAGTCGGCTAAGATTACTTGTGGGGCCGGTCGTAGCGGCTGTTCGTCGTGCCCGGGTACGATTTCGGCTTCTCCCTGGGGTCGAGCGTGAGGTAGTCGTCGGCGCTCCGGCCGTCGCCCCCCGTGCGGAAGAGGTCGTCGGTGTGCTTGCGGAACTTGAGCTTGCCCGCGAACCAGTCCGCGTCGTCGTCGTCGTCGTCGTCGCCGTCGAGCCAGTCCATCGCGGGCGCGGCCGGCGGCGCGTCGGCGTCCGCGCGGTCGCTCTTCGACGTCTTCAGCGACGACGAGAACGCGGCGAGCCGCGCGAGCGTGTCCGACTCGCGGCCCTTGGTCGTCTTCGCGCGGCGCTTGTTTTTCTGGCGCAGCGCCTCGAACGGCGTGAGCATGTCGTTCTTCTCCTGGGCCGCGTCGGCGCGCTTCGCGTCGGCCGTGAGGCGCGTTGGCGCGGGCAGGGACGACCGCACGAGCGCCGCGTCCTTGGCCGCCTTGGCCTCGCGGAGCTTGTCGTCCTTGGCCTCCTTCGCGCGGAGCCGCTTCCGCTCGGCCTTGGCCGCGTCCTTGGCCTCGCGCAATTTCCGCGCGTCGCCGCCGCCGAAGTCGTCGTCGACGCCCGCGAACTCGCCGTCCTCGTCGACGGCGTCGCGCCGGCGCTTCGACGCCGCGGCGGCGTCGCGCTTCTCCCGCGCGGCGACCTTGCCCGCGCGCTGCCGCAGCCGGTCGCGCATCTTCGCCGCGAAGTCCTTCGCGTCCGCGTCGCCGCGGCGCTCCGCGCGCGACGACAGCGCCGCCTTGAGCGCGCCCTCGGCCGGCGCCGGCGCCGCGCCGCCGTCGTCGGAGTCGCTTTCCGAGCTGTCCGACGACTCGGGCGCTCCCGCGCCGCGGACGCCGACGGCTTTGAGCGGCGCCGCGGGCTCCGCGGGCGCGGCGGCCCGGGCCTTGGGCGCCGGCACGACGTCCTGGGCCTCCTGCTCCTCGCCGAAGCTCAGCAGGCCCAGATTCTTCACGGAGGCCGCCTTCTTCGCCGCCTTCCGCGCCGCCTCGGCCTTCTCCTTCGCCTCGCGCTCGCCCTTGGCGAGGTCGCGGGGCACGACGTCGTCGAAGGGGTTGTCGAGCACCTCCACGGTCTTCAGTTCGATGACCTCCGTCGGCCGGTCGCCGTCGCCGATCTCCGCCTCGCCCATGCGCAGCAGGTTGAAGACCGTGTTGCCCGCGACGGTGCCGAAGATCGTGTGCTTGCCGTCGAGCCAGGAGCACGCGTCGAGCGTGAAGAAGAACTGGGCCCGGTTCGTGTCCGGCCGGTTCTCGTTGGCCATGGCCAGCTGGCCCCGGTGGTTGAAGCGGATCCGCGCGTGCGTCTCGTCGCGGAACGGCTTGCCCCAGACGCTGTCGCCGCCCTCGCCCGTGCCCGTCGGGTCGCCGCCCTGGGCCATGAAGCCCGGGATGACGCGGTGGAAGCACGTGCGGTCGTAGTAGCCCTCGAGCGCCAGCTGCACGAAGTTGCGGCAGGCGCGCGGCGCCTCCTTGGACCAGAGCTCCACGTCGATGGCGCCGTACGTCGTGTGGAAGATGACCTTGCCGCGCGTCGGCGGCTCGACGTGGTAGACGCTCGACATGGCTCGTTGGCGCGGCGTAAGCGCGGCGAGCGGCGCGGTCGCGGTCGGTGGGCGCGCGCGCGCAGCGGCCGGCGGGCCCGAGCACGGCGACGAGCAAGGTGTCGAGCAAGGCCCTGTCGACGAGTCAAAATTGAACCAAAGTTGCCGCTAGGTTGCACCCCGAGTTACGCGCTCATCGTCTCGGGTCGCGGCGGCCCCGGCGGGTCGTCCTGGGGGATCGTCGCGAGGAAGTCGGCGAGGCGGAGGAAGTAGTCCTCGTGGGCGATTTCGAGGAGGTTGTTGTGGCCCGCGCCCTCGACCCAGTAGGGCGCGTGGGAGATCTTCGCCCTGTCCGCGAGCATGCGGCCGTGGGCGCAGGGGATCTCCTCGTCGGCCGTGCCGTGGATGACGAAGACGGGCGCGTCGATCTTCGCGACCTCGCGCAGGTTGTTGAAGGGGTCGAGGCACGCGTAGACGTGGACGGGGCTGCACGCGCCGCCGCCCGCGAGCGCGCGGATGCCCGACGCGATGGGGCTGTGGAGCACGACGCCGGCGACGGGCTTGCGCGACGCGAGCCAGCAGGCCGGCCCGGAGCCCACGGACTGGCCGTAGAGCACGACGCGGTCGGGCGCGAAGCCGAGGCGCAGGGCCTCGTCGTAGCCCGCGGCCGCGTCGGCCTCGACGTCGCGCACCGTCGCCGACCCGTCGGCGCCGCCGTAGCCGTTGTACTCCACGGCGAGCACGTGGACCCGGAGCCGCCGGCCGAACGCGGAGTACGTCGGCAGCCTGTGTGCAAATCAACCAGTGAGCTGGGACGTCCCGACCAAACTTTGAAATTCTCTAGCTCGGTCAAATCGACGTCGATTCGGCTGATTTTTGGATGAATCGATTGCTCCCATCGAGTTCTCGAAGCACAGCGGAAATGCTCGTGTCAAAACATTCGACTACGCGCACATTGAAGTCGGGTTGAAGATTTGGTTTCCACACGGTCGGGAGCATCGCGCCGCAGTCCGTCGCGTTCGCGTGCAAGTAGAGCACGCAGAGCGACGCGCCCGGCCGCTCGAAGAAGAAGCAGGGGATGCGCTGCTTGCGCCGCGTGAAGAGCAGCCGGCACGACGGCCGGCCGTGCGCGCCGTCGAGGGTCCGAAACCGCGCGAAGTGCGGGTCGCCGTCGAGCTCGCGGTAGTTGAAGCGCAGCGAGCTCACGCCGGGCTGCGCGACCGTCGGCGGCGCGTCGCCGTCGCCCTTGCCCAGCGCGTAGGTCGGCGGGTCCGGCGGGAAGAACGCGAACTCGGAGACGACGCGGCCGGGGTCGCACCGCTTCCGGCACAAAATGACCGCGAGCGCCGTCGAGATGAGGCAGTTCGTGCAGCAGGGCTGGTCCACGTACTCGCGCGCGCCGCCGTCGTGGTGCTCGCCGGGGCCCACGGGCGCGTGCGCGTTCCCGAGCACGTGCATGGACGTCTCGAGGTCCTCGGCGTTGATCGACGCGTCCTGGACGGCCATCGTCGAGTCGTGACCGACGAGGTGCGCGCGCGGCGCCGACCAGGCGGGGCGGTCCTCCGGCGCCGGCGACGCGGTCTCGTCCGGCGCCGGCCCGGCTCGACGGCGCCCGCCAAGCCGCTGCCACTGGCTGTGGTGAGAGCGTCGTCCCGCGGCCGTCCTCGCGAGCTCGCAAGCCCGACGCAAGCGCTCTCACAAGCGTCGCCACTGTTGCCGGCACGAGGCGTCGTCGCGCGTCGACGGCCCGGTCCCCCGAAGTGCACCCCCCGCGCCCGCAAGACCGTCGCGGCCATCACCACGCCGCTCGCATCGACGCCACCCCGAAAACCGCAAAACCGCCGACGTTATGTCCACGCTCCGCGTGCACGTCGTGAGAGCCCGCTCTCTCGTCGCCAAGGACTGGAGCCTCCTGGCGAGCCGCCGCCGGTCGGACCCCTACGTCGTCGTCGTCGTCGACGGGACCGTCGTCGGAAAAACGGCCGTCGCGCCGAAGAACCTCGATCCCGAGTGGGGCGAGGCGTTCCAGGCCTGGGTCCCCGGGAACGGCGACGCGAACGTCGAGCTGCGGATCGTTGACCGCGACCTCGTCACGGACGACGAGTCCATGGGCGCCGTGAAATTCGCCGTGCCGCGGTCCGGGGCCGCGCCGTTCGCGTGGCGGCCCGTGGCGAAGACCGCCGACTGCAAGAACGCCAAGGGCGACCTCTTCTGCGCCGCCGCCTTCCGCCCCGCCGCGGCGGGGCCGGACGCGGCCTGGACGCTCACGGTCCACGGCGCGAGGCACCTGCCGGCGGCGGACGCGGGCGGGACGTCGGACCCGTTCGCGGTCGTCGAAGTGGAGGACGAGGGCGGGCCGGGCAAGGGCGGCTCGGGCTTCGACGAGGTCGGGCGCACGGCCGTCGCCTGGAAGACGCTGCAGCCGACCTGGGACCACGCCGTCGACTTCGACGCGCCCGCGGGGCTGGCCCCCGGGGCCGGCGACCCCCGGGACCTCGAGCATCTGCTCGCGCGCGGGCCGGCGGCGCGGCTCCGCCTCTACGACAAGGACCGCTACTCGAAGGACGACGCCCTGGGGCAGTGCCTCTTCGCCGTCGGCGCGCTGCCGCGGGACGGGTCCGCGGTCTGGGTGCCCCTCGATCCGCTCGGCCACAGCGCCAAGGGGTTCCCAAAGGGCGCCGCGGTGCGCGTCTCCGCGACGCGCGGGGGAAACGCGCGGCCGCTGTCGATCTGCCTGCTGAGCGCCAACTGCGGCAACGCGCCCCTCGACCCGCTGGACAAGCTCCTGCCGGACGCGCGCGAGGACTGGGACGTCGTCGCCGCCGGGCTGCAGGAATCGACGTTCGGCGGGCTCTTCCAGAAGCACGCGAAGCCGCAGGAGAAGCCGTTCGACGACGACGGCGACGAGAGCGACGCGACGGTCGAGGACGAAGGCTCCGGCCGCGAGGAGCCGCGGGGCGACGGGCCGGCGGACTCGTGGGACCTGCCGCCGTCGCCGACGACGGGGGACGCCGTCGGCGTCCGCCGCGACGTCGCCAAGCGCCTCGCCGAGCTCCTGCCGGGCCACGAGGTCGTCGCCGACGGCCGCCGCGGCGAGATGCGCCTCGTCGTGCTCTGCCGCCGGGCGCTCGCGGGCGGCGTCTCATGCAAGCGCGGCGCGGGCGAGAACACGGGCCTCGGCCACGTCTACCACAACAAGGGGGGCATGGTCTGCGCCTTTGCCCTCAACGGCAAGGGCGCGACGACGCTGGCCTTCTTCAACGCCCACCTCGCCGCGCACGAGGGCAAGGCGCTCCGCCGCGACGCGGACGTCGCCGAGATCCTCGGCGGGTGCCGGTCCAAGCTCGGCGGCGCCTACTCGTCGAAGCTCGACGTCAGCGCCCAGGTCGACTACGCCATGTTCGTCGGCGATCTGAACTACCGCGTCCTGCGCGGGTCCACGGACGCGCTCCGGTCCCCGACCGCGTCGCCCGCGGCGAAGCGAACCGCGGCGACGTTCCGGCCCGCGGACGACGAGCTCAGCGTCGAGATGGCGGCGAAGCGCGTCTTCGTCGGCTGGGCCGCGCCGCCGCCGGCCTTCGCGCCGACCTTCAAGGTCGCCAAGGGCGGCGGGACCTACAACGCGAAGCGCGCGCCGTCGTGGTGCGACCGCGTCCTCGTGCACGAGAGCGCGGCGCTCAAGGGCACGGCGACGGTGGAGACCTTCGACGCCCGCCCGGCCGTCGCGTCGAGCGACCACAAGCCCGTCGCCGCGGTGCTGTCGCTCGCGCCGCCGCCGCGCCGCGCCGCGACGCTCCGCCGCTTCGCGCTCGCGGCCGTCGACCGCGCGGGCGGCGAGAGCGTCGCCGTGCTCGCGCCGGGCGGCGGCAGCGCCGCGTTCCGCCGCGGCCGCGAGCCCCTGGCCTTCGACGCGGCCGTCGCGCCCGGCGCGGTGGTCCACGTCGCGTTCTCGACCGACGACCGGCCCGCCGGCGCCGCGTCCCTATCGCTCGCGGACGTCGCCGCGGCCGTCGACGCGGACGGCGCCTACGCGGTCACCGCGCCCCTCGTCCTCAACGGGCTCCAGGACCGCGGAGACGTCGCGCTCACGTTCGCGGCGGCGTGAGCGCCCGGGCCCGTCGCGCGCGTACGCCGCGCGACGGCGCCTTGAGTACTGTGTAAATACGATGCGAACTTGAAGGCGCCTTACGAGAACCGCTAGCCGACGGCGCGGGCCGCGGCCTTCGGGCTCGCCTTGACGCGCTTCGCGAGGGGCGAGACGACGCAGGGCGCGGACGCGGAGAGCATGGGGTCGTTCTTGAGCCCCACGGGCGCGACGGGCCGGACGAACCTGCCGTGGCGCGACATGCGGAGGCTGCTCTCCGTGGGCCGGTTCGGCGACGTCTGGACGTTCGGCAGCTTCTGGGGCGGCGCGCCGTAGACGTTGTAGGCCGCGAAGGACGAGCTGTAGGCCTTGGAGCGCCGCTTCTTGAGCATGGACACGTACTCGATGACGCGGACCATCGCCGCGGACGCCGCGTTCGCGGCGTCGAGCGCCGCCGCGGTCTTCAGGTTCGTGCGGACGAGCTGGTCGCGCTCGCGCTCGAGCGCCGCGAGCCGCTTCGCGACCTGCGGCGGCGCCTCCGCCGCGTCCTCGCGCACCGCGTCGTCCGCGGGCGGGCCCGGCGGCGCCTGGGCAGGACAAGGGTGATTCAACGTCGCTTCAACGTGAGTGTTCCGCGCGCGCGCGTTCCGAAAAAAACATCCACGCTTCGAGACCGTTCCGAGAGATGATCGCTCGTCCAAGAATTAGCCAAAACGAGTGGAAAACGGCCGGGATATGAGCCTTTGAAGTTGGGAATTTCGCTCTCTTGTCCTGCCCTGGGCGGCGCCTCGGCCTCGGGCACGTCCGCCGCGCCGCCCGCGGCGGCCTCGAGCGCGTCCTTGGCGTCCAGCAGCTCCAGGTAGACGCGGCTCAGCTCCCGGATCTTCAGCCGGAGCTCGGCGTCCTTGGCCTCGAGCTCGCGGTCGAAGGCCGCGCGGTCGGCCCGCGCGCGCCTGTGCCGAATTCAACCGCTGGTTTGGGTGGTCCTGACCAAACTTCGGAATTCTCGAGCTCGGTCACGTCGAAGTCGATTCGGCTGATTTTTGGACGAATCGATTGCTCTCGTCGAGTGCTCGAAGCACGACCGAAGAGCTTGCGTCGAAACTGTCGCGTACGCGCACATTGAAGTCGGGTTGAAGATTTGAATTCCACACGGGCGCGCGCTCGTCCGCGGCCCGCCGCTCGCCGCGCGCGTCGTCGCGGTCGCGCGCGCGGGCCCGGTCGCCGACGTCGAGCGCCACGATGGCCTTGTCCCGCTCGCGCACGGCGCCGTCGAGGCGCCGGTCGATCTCCTCGGCGCGCTGCCTCCAGAAGTCGCGCTCCCGGCGCGCCTCGTCGCGCTCGCCCTCCGCGTGCTCCCGGCGGAGCGCCTCCGTCGCCGCGAGCGCGCTCTCCTGCTGCGCGTGCGCCGCGCGCGCCTCCGCGAGGTCGTGCTCCGCCGTCTCCTTGTCGCGGCGCAGCGCCACCTTCTCGCGCTCCGCGCGCGCGGCGCGGTCCGCGGCGACGGCCGCGACGGCCGCGGAGCTCGCGCGGATCTTGCGGTCCTTGGCCGACGCCAGGGCCTCGTGGGACCGCGCTAAAGCCTCGTAGCGGCCGCTCAGCGTCATGTGGAACTCCTCGAGCAAGGCGTGGCGCGCCTCCGCGTGCTTCGACGCCTCGACGGCCGCGGCGCGCTCCTGGCAGCACCTGGGCAGCACAAGAGTGATTCAACGTCGCTTCAACGTGAGTGTTCCGCGCGCGCGCGTTACAAAAAACACATCCACGCTTCAAGACCGTTCCGAGAGATGATCGCTCGTCCAAAGGTCAGCCGAAACGAGTAGAAAACGGCCGAGAAAGGAGCCTTTGAAGTTGGGAATTTCGCTCTCTTGTCCTGCCCTGGGCAGCACTGCCGGTGGTCGCGCGTCTTCTGCGCGAGCGCCGCCTCCGCGGCCTCGAGCCGCGCGGCGACGGACGCGAGCGCGGCCTCGCCCGGGGCCGGCGCGGGCGCCTCGCAGAGCTCGCAGAGCTCGAAGGACGGCGGCCGCTTCGACGGCGACGGCGCCTCCTCCTCCGCGGACGGCCGCCGCGACGACGGCGGCGGCAGCAGCGGCGCCGGCGGCTCCGGCGGAAGCCCGTCGTCATCGACGACGGCGCGCTTGCAGGGCTCCAGAAGCAGGGGCCCGTCGCCGTCGGCGACCGCGCGCGCGCGGGGCTCCGCGGCCGGCGGCGCCGCCTCCTCCGGGGCCGCGGCCTCGGCGGCGTCCGCGCGCTGCTGGCGGCCGCGCGTGCGCGCCTGGAGCTTGGCCGCGGCGGCGTCGAGGTCCGCGTCGTCCGCCGGCTCCGGCGCCGGCTCGAGGGCCTCCCCCTCCTCCGGGGCCGCGGCCTCGGCGGCGTCCGCGCGCTGCTGGCGGCCGCGCGTGCGCGCCTGGAGCTTGGCCGCGGCGGCGTCGAGGTCCGCGTCGTCCGCCGGCTCCGGCGCCGGCTCGAGGGCCTCCCCCTCCTCCGGGGCCGCGGCCTCGGCGGCGTCCGCGCGCTGCTGGCGGCCGCGCGTGCGCGCCTGGAGCTTGGCCGCGGCGGCGTCGAGGTCCGCGTCGTCCGCCGGCTCCGGCGCCGGCTCGAGGGTCTCCCGCGTCCGCGCGACGGGCTCCGGCGAGTGCGGGATCCCCTCCTCCTCGGAATCGTCGTACTTGGCGCGCGTGTGGTGCTTCGATTTCATCGGCACCTGCGTCTCCTCCGGGGCCTCGGCGCGCTGCTGGCGGCCGCGCATGCGCGCTTGCAGCTTCGCCACGGCCGCGTCGGGGTCCGCGTCGTCCGCGGGCGCCTCGTCCGCCTCCTCGGCCGCCGCGGGCACCTCGCTCGTCCGCCCGAGCGCGGCCGGGTCCTCGGCCGGCGCCGGCGGGGGCGCGACGGCGGCGTCGCCGCGCTCCCGGCGCCCCCGGATGCGCGCCTGGAGCTTCGCGGCCGCCGCGTCGAGGTCCGCGTCGTCGTCGTCGACGGCCGCTCCCCCGCCGCAGAGCGGCTCCTGCTCCTCGGGCTCCGCCGGCGACGGCCGCGCGGCGCCGGGCCCGCCCACGGCGCCCGCGCCCGCGCAGGCGACGGCCTCGACGACGAGGGCTGCCTCCTCGGCGCTCGCGCCCGCGCCGACGACGGCCGCGAGGGGCGCCGCGGCCTCGGCCGCCTTCCCCGCGGCGGCCTCCATCTCGACCAAAGCGGCGTGCGCGGGCGCGGGCGCCGCGCGCGTCGCCGCCGCCGCCGCGGCGGCGTCCTCGAGGATGTGCGCCGCCGTCGCGCGGCCGAGGAAGTGGTGCTCGTGCCCGTGGAAGAGCCCCGCGGCCGCGGGCGCGGGCGTCGCGTGGACCAGCAAACAGTTGCCCGCCGTGGCCACGGAGCCGTCGTCGCGGTCCAGCGACCCGGCGAGGGACTGGGTCTGCGAGTTGTTCGCGGACCGCGCGCGCGCGGCGAAGGCGACGTCGTGGAGCAGGCGCCGCACGCGCGCGGAGATCCACCTGCGCGGACATCAACCGGTGAGCCGGGACGTCCCGACCAAACTTTGGAATTCTCTCGCTCAAATCGACGTCGATTCGGCTCATGTTTGGACGGATCGATGGCTCTCGTCGAGTGCTCGACGCACAATAGAAAGCCTCGCGTCGAAGCGGTCGCATGCGCGCCCATCGACGTCGGGTCGAAGGTTCGAGTTCCGCGCGGAGACGCGCGTCGCGGCCTCCGTCTCCGCGCCAACGTCCGCGGGCAGCCGCGCGAGGAGCGTGGCCACGGGGATGTCCGCGAGGTCGTCGCCGTCGCCGCTTTCCCAGGCCCGGAGCACGGCCGCGAGCTGGCCGTCGGACCGCGACCCGCGGCGCCGCGGGACCGCGAGCGCGCTCCGCAGCGCGGCCGTCGCGGCCGCGGGCCGCCCCCGGAGCCGCTCGGCCTTGGCCAGGCGGTACCAGAGGGCCCGCGTCGCCCGGCCCGGGTCCCGCCGCAGCGCCTCGGCGTAGAGATCCGCCGCGAGGTGGTCCAGCCCCGCGAAGGCGCACTTGTCGCCGACGTCGCGCCACGTCCGCGCGTCCCGCGCCCAGGCCTCCGCGTCGCCGTCGGGCGCGGACACGCGGCCCAGCTTCTTCCAGAGGCTCCGCGCCGTGCGGCCCGCCGTGAGGCCCGCGGGGCTCGCGCCGTCCGCGAGGCCCCAGGCCTCGTAGGCCCGCGCCAGCAGGAAGAGTAGGTCGCTTTTGCCGAAGAGGCGGCCCGCGGCCTCCGACGCGTCCTCGACGACGAGGCGGTAGTAGAGCGTCACGGCCCGCGCGTACTCGCCAAAGGCGTGCTGGTAGAGCATGGCCACGCTCAGCACGCTGAGCTGGCGGTGGTGGCCCGGCCGGTCCTCGCGGTCCAAGACGACGCCGAGCGTCGCGGCGGCCTCCGCGTGCTTGCCCACGAGCTGCTGGACGCGCACGCGCTCGATGAGGGCGAGCGTCGGGATGCTCTCGTCGTCCGCCGCGTCCCAGGACGCGTCGGACGCGTGCAGCAGCGACAGCGGGCCCCGCGGCCCGAGCGCAGCCCAGGCGCGGTAGCACGCGACCGCGACGAGGCTCCGGTCCACGGCGACGCCCGGCGCGTCCCGGGCGCGGCCGAGCAGCGCCGCGGCGACGCGCTGGACGACGTGGCGGTCGCCGCAGCGCGCCCCGGCCCGCCGGTGCAGGGCGAGGCCCAGCTCGTAGCCGAAGCGGTTCACGAGGGGCGCGTCGCCGCAGGCGATGGCCGCCTCGAGGTCCCGCCGCAGCTCGAACTCCTCGTGGCGCATGCGGGCCAGGGGGCTCAGGTGCACCTCGCCGACCACGCTCGCGTCCGCGCCCGCCGTCGCGGCCATAATGACAAGGAGAGCGCGTTTTGCAAGGACAGTTTCAGCGTCGCGAGGATGAAGGATTTGTATAGCAGTCAATGGTGCCATCAGCTTAGGGCCCCTGGGCTGAATCCCCCCCTGCCCGGTAAGAGTGACGTGGCGGCGAGGTACAAACGAGCGGAGGGGGGTCGCGCTGGCGCGGGGTCGGCGCGCGCGAGGCCGGGGCGACCTCGCGCGCGCGTCATGGGCGCGCGCGTCCCCCCGCCCTCATCGTGGTCGCCTAGAGGGCCGCCGCTGGCGGCATGGGCTGGGGGTCCTGGCCGCAGTTGCACGTCGTCATGAAGCAGTCGTTGAAGCAGTGCGTGTTCATGGGACCCGCGTGGAGCGACCCGTACCAGCCCTTCCAGCGGTTGTCCGCGGCCTCGAGGTTCTTCTCGAAGTCGGCGTAAAAGGACTCGGCGGGCCCCGCGTCCTTGTTGGAGATGATGCCCGTGCCGTTGACGAAGCGCGTGTGCTCGCCCGGGCTGCCCGGCGGTCCCAGGTACTCCTTCGCCCAGGGCCAGTCGCCGCCGGTCTCCGTGGCGATCCCCTACAAAGGACGGATTTCAGCGGCGAAAGCACTTCTCGTCGCTCGACGCTGGATGAGACCCAGCCTCAGAAGCCGCCCCAGCGCGGCGCGTAGGTCCAGGGGTCGGCGACGAAGGCCGCCTTGTTCGCCTCGCTCGAGAACCAGAACTCGGAGACGAAGCGGTCGACGCCGTTGTCCTGGCTCGTGAGGTTGTAGGCGATGGACGCCTTGCCCATGACGCCCGTGACGCCGGCGCCGGGCTTGAACGACACCATGTCGTAGCCCTCGAGCACCGGGGCCGCGGACACGGCCGTGGCCAGGGTCGCCGCGCGCGCGAGGCGCCGCCGGGACGACGGCATTGGTGCTTTCTGGGGCAGCCTCGGATCAGAAGGGTGTAATAAAACTTGGGTGAATACTTGCTTGAACCCCCACCCCAAAAGCTCGATCTCGCCGAGCTTGCAGCAGAGCATGGCGCCGTGCAAGCTCATCATCGCGGCCCTGTGCGCGTCCCTCGTCGGCGCCTTCGCGCCGCCGCGCGCCGCGCCGGCCCGCTCCCTCGCGCGACGGGATCTCTTCGGCGGCGGCGGCAAGAAGGAGGGCGGCGGCGCGCTGAGCAACGTCGCCGGCGTCATGGACCAGTTCAAGAAGGCGCAGGAAATCGCGAAGAAGAGCGCGGAGCTCCAGAAGGAGCTCGGCGCCGCCGAGTTCGAGGGCGCGAACGCCGACGGCACCGTCACGTTCAAGATGAACGGCCAGCAGCAGGCGACGGCCTGCGCCGCTCCCGGCTTCGACGGCATGGACGCCGAGGCGCTCTCCAAGGGCTACACCGACGCCATGATGGACGCCCAGGCCAAGTCCATCGCCGCCATGAACGAGAAGATGTCCGAGCTCTACGCGTCCATCGGCCTCGGCGGCGGCATGTAGGCGCGGCCTAAGCGAAGGCGCCGGTACGAGTGTCGTCCGCGGGGGGGAGGCGCCGGTACGAGTCGTACGCGGGGGACGAGTTATCTCTTAGAGGGAACCCGTGGCGGGGCCGCGCGTCCGTCGGGGACGGGGCCGCGAGGCGCGCCTAGGCGACGACGGCGACCTGCTCGGGGCCCGTCTTCTCCGGGAGCTCGACCTCCTTCGGGGGCAGGAGCGCGCCCGTCTCCTCGTCCGCCTGGTCGGCGCCCTTCTCGAGGAGGGCCTGGATGGGGTCCTGCCACGTGAGGATGTTGTTCTTCACGAGCGCGTAGGTGACGATGACGAAGAGGCCGAAGGGGATGAAGCCCCAGTGGTAGTGGTCCCAGTTCTTGTGGTAGGCCTTGAGGAGGGGCGCGACGGTGAGCGACACCATGGACATGAGCTTGATGAGGATGTTGAGCGCGGGGCCCGACGTGTCCTTGAACGGGTCGCCGACGGTGTCGCCGACGACGCAGGCGTCGTAGTGGGCTTTCTTCGCCGGGAACTTGTGGGAGCCGTCGGCGTTCTTCTTCTTCGACAGGCCCTTGGTGCCGTCCTTCTCGCAGAACTTCTTCGAGTTGTCCCACGCGCCGCCCGCGTTCGACATCATGATCGCGACCATGGCGCCGGAGCAGATCGCGCCGGAGAGCATGCCCACGAGGCAGGCCGGGCCGACGAGGAAGCCGACGAAGAGGGGCGCGAGGATCGCGTAGGCGCCCGGCGCGACCATCTCGCGCACGGACGACCGCGTCGAGATCTCGACGCACTTGTTGCTGTCGGGCGCGACGTCCATCTCCGGCGGGATCTTCTCGCCGTTCGACGCCATCATGATGCAGTCGCGGAGCGTCGTCTTGCCGTCGGCGGCGACGAGGTCCGGCCGGTTGTGGAACTGGTCGCGGACCTCGCAGATGATCTCCGCGGCCGCCTTGCCGACGGAGATCATCGTCAGCGCGGCGAACATGTAGGGCAGCATGGCCCCGAAGAGCGCGCCGGAGAGCACGTAGGGGTCCGTCACCGCGAGCTGGGCGTCGTCCAAACCCGCCTGGTTCTTGAAGGCCGCGAGGAGCGACAGCGACGTGAGCACCGCGGAGCCGATCGCGAAGCCCTTGCCCGTCGCGGCCGTCGTGTTGCCGAGCGCGTCGAGCGAGTCCGTGATCTGGCGCACGCTGTCGGGGATCGCCGGGTCCATCTCCGCGAGGCCGCCCGCGTTGTCCGCCACGGGGCCGTACGCGTCCGTCGCGAGCGTGATGCCGAGCGTCGCGAGCATGCCGACGGCGGCGATCGCGATGCCGTACTCGCCCTTGATGGCCGCGCAGCCCAGGATCGCCGCGACCAGCACAAAAATCGTCGGCACGCAGGAGAGCATGCCCACGCCCAGGCCCTGGATGACCACCGTCGCCGGGCCCGTGGACCCGCGCGCCTTGATCGACTGGACCGGCGCGAAGTCGAAGGACGTGAAGTACTCCGTGAGCTTGCCGATGACGACGCCCGTCGCCAGGCCGATGATGACGCAGAGGTAGGACCCCCACAGCCCGCCGAGGTAGTGGCAGCACGCCGCCGCGAGGCCGAGGAACGTCGCGCCCGCGAGGAACGTGCCCTTCTCGAGCGCCCACATGAGCGCGCCTAGATTCGAGTTCCAGCCCTCGCCCTTCTCCTTCGTCGACACGGCGAAGGTGCCGATGAGCGACGCGAGCACGCCCGCGCCGGCGAGCCAGAAGGGCAGCGCGACCTCGCAGTCGCGCGGCGCGAGCGTCGCGGCCGCGATGATCGAGCCGACGTAGGATTCGAAGAGGTCCGCGCCCATGCCCGCGACGTCGCCGACGTTGTCGCCGACGTTGTCCGCGATGACGGCGGGGTTGTGCGGGTCGTCCTCGTCGATGCCCGCCTCGACCTTGCCCACGAGGTCCGCGCCGACGTCCGCGGCCTTGGTGTAGATGCCGCCGGCGACGCGCGCGAAGAGCGCGATGCTCGACGCGCCGAAGCCGAAGCCCGCGAGCACCTGGAGCGCCTCGGCCTTGGAGTAGTTGACGGCGACGACGAGGAACGCCGACCCGACGCCCAGCAGCCCCAGGCCGACGACGACGAAGCCCATGACCGCGCCGGCCGTGAACGCGACGCGCAAGCCGTCGTTGAGCGTGCCCGTGCCCGTGACCTCGCCCGTCTTGGCGTCGACGACCTCCTTGCCCGCGCAGGCCGCCGTCGTGCGCGTGTTGCCGTCCGTGGCGACCATCATGCCGAGCCAGCCCGCGGACGCGGACAGCGCCGCGCCCAGGAAGAACGCGAACGCCGTGCGCACGCCGTCGGACTTGGTCGTCTGCTCCTCGATGGTGAAGAGGAGGAGGAGGATGAGGCCGAGGACGACGACGAAGACGAAGAGCCACTTGTACTCCTCGACGAGGAAGGCCTTGGCGCCGGCCTTGACCATCGCGCCGTACTTGTCGACGAGCGGCCGGCCGACGCCCGCGCCCGTGGGGTTGGCCATGAGGCGCTTGTAGAGCACCATGGTAAACATGAGCGCGATGGCCCTGGGGAGGGTGGGTTGTGTCGGAGGTTTCGCGGAACGCGGGTCGGGGCAGCCCGGAAACGGCGAGGGCGGGTGCTGGGGTGGGCTGGCCGGGATCTTGGGAGGGGAGGTGCGCGCGCGCGGGACGGCCGACGCACCCGCCGACGAGCGCCGGGAACACGACCTCGTGCACGCCCATCTTATCCGCGTAGTCGGACCCCATCGCGAGTGTTCGGGACTGACGATGACAGGGCACCTCCCAACGTCGCGAGCACGGATCGGCTGCAAGAGCGAGCACGTTCTCAACTGGGACACGATTCTGGATTGTAAACGTCATCAAGCCTTGAACGTGGCGCCATCAAGCTTTGAAACGGATTTTAACCGGACCTCGATGGGCTTGTCCCTCGTTTGAGGAACACTCTCGAGACGATGGCGCGGAGCCTCACGACGCGCGAGCTCGCCCAGGCCGTGCGCCAGGACCTGGTCATCGCCCGCGACATGGAGCGCCTCGGGCTGCTGCGGCCCTGGCTCTACGCGCTGGCCCTGGGGCAGCCCGGGCGCGAGGAGCTCGCGTGCGCCCTGCGCCAGGGCCCGGTCCACGGCCACATGGCGCCCATCGAGGTCGACGCGGACCCGCGCGGCGGCTCCTTCACGATCATGCCCGGCGAGGCCGCGCGCGCCCTGCTCCTCGACGAGAACCGCGGCCTCAGCGGCCGCATGAACCGGCCGGGGCAGGGCCTCGCGAAGCGGCTCGGCGCGGACCGGTCGTCGTCGTGGCTCCAGATCCTCGCGCGTGCCGCCGCCGCCGTCGCGCCCGTGCCGCGGACCGCGCCGCCGACGCTCCGGCGCGCGGCGGCCCTCGGCGTCGCGGCCTTCGACTACGCGCGCGCGCGCGACGCGTCCAAAGGGCCCGCGGCGGACGACGGCGGCGACACGGCCGTCGGCGCGCTCGAGCGCCACGTCCTCGCGCTCGTCGCGGCCAAGTACGCCGCCGCGGCGAAGGACGAGGGGGACGAGGTCCCGGTCCCGGCGGAGGACGGCGACGCGCGACGCGCGCGCGCTTCCGCGGCCGAGGAGCGCTGGACGATCACGACGCCCTTCGAGGTCGCCGCGGCGGCGCCCGCGGCCTGGGCCGAGCCGGAGGCGGCCGAGGCGGAGGCGCCGGCGGCGCCCGCCGCCCCGGCCGGCGGCGCCGCGAACCTCGCGCGCGCGGGCCTCGCCGATTTCGCGCCGCTCTGCGACCTCACGCGGCTGCCCGTCTTGACGAACAAGCTCGCGCGCCGCGCGGAGAAGTTCGGCGCGCGCGCCGGCGCGGGCCTCGCCGCGTCGCTCTTTGTGCCCGTCCTCTTCCTGCCCGTGCTCGCGTCGAACGTCGCGCACTCCGTCGCCGGCGTCGACGCCGTCGGCTGCCTCGACGCCATCGCGGCGCTCTGCGTCTGCCGCTTACTCCTCGCGGAGAGCGGCTGCGACGTCGACGCCGTCGTCCACGCCGTCGCGTCGGGCTCCAGCCTGCTCAGCGGCGCGCTGCCGCCGCCGCCGCCGCCGACGTCGAGCCCGCCGCGGCGGACGTCGGAGACGCGGTGCGCCGCGCCCGCGGCCATCATCGGCTGCGCGACGGCGTGTTAGCTTACCATACACGCGCGCTCGCGCCGGGGAATTCTGGCGCCCGCGGCCATCGTCGGCTGTGCGACGGCGTGGTAGCTTAACATACAAGCGCGCTCGCGCGCGCGTCGAGGGGAAGCCTAGCGCGCGAGCGCCGGGAGCGTCGCGCAGGACACGGCCATGCGCGCGGGCGACTTGGCCAGCGGCGCGTTGAGCTTGGGCGTGGGCTTCGGCGACGACGGCGCCGGCGGCGCCGCGGGCTTCGCCTTCTCGGACCCGTCGCAGAAGCGCGCCGCGTCCGCCGTGAGGCCCAGCACCTGGGCAGCAAAAGGGTGATTCAACGTCGCTTCAACGTGAGTGTTCCGCGCGCGCGCGTTAAAGAAAACACATCCACGCTTCAAGGCCGTTCCAAGAGATGATCGCTCGTCCAAAAATCAGCCGAAACGAGTGGAAAACGGCCGAGAGAGAAGCCTTTGAAGTTGGGAATTTCGCACTCTTTTCCTGCCCTGCCCAGCACCGTGAGGCGGAGCGTCGTCTCGCTCAGCTTGGCCTTCTTGAGCAGGAGCTTGGGCAGCTTCGTCGAGAGCCAGGACGCGCGGCCGCTCTCCGCCGCCGTCTCGAGGAACTTGCCCACGGGCAGCAGCCGCCCCTCGTAGCGCTTGACGACGCCGGCGCCGAGCACGCGCGACGTCGCGTCGCCGCCGCGGCCGAGCCTCCCGATGGCCGCGCGCGCGTTCTCGAGGAGCGCGTCGGCGACGTGGCCGAAGGCGACGCGGTCGTCCAACTTCGCCCCCGCGGCGTCGACGTCGCAGCCGAGCGCCGCGCGCGCGACGTCGAGGTCCGACTCGAAGAGCAGGAGCAGCTGCCGCGCGACGGCGAAGCACCAGGTCTGGCGGTAGACCTCGTCGACGTCGTCGTCGTCGTCGTCGTCGTCGTCGAAGGTCGGCGCCGCGTCGCCGTCCTCCTCCTCCCGCGGTATCGCGCGGACGAGCTCGTACGAGCCCTTCGGGAGCCCCCGGTGCGGCGGCGGCTCCCGCGACGCGAGCGTCAGGAAGGCCAGCGTCGTGTGCGTGCCGTTGACCGTGAGGATCTTGCGCCGGTGGAGGAACTGGGCCTCCGCGGCGCTCGACGGCTCGAAGACGCCCGCGCCCGCGAACGGCAAAGGGGCCGCGTCGTCGTCGTCGTCGTCGTCGTCGTCGTCCTCGTCGTTCTTCATGACCACGATCTCGCCGCGCCAGGGCTCCGTGGACGTGTCCAGCACGTAGCCGCCGGCGTCGACCCGGAGATCGCGGCCCGTGCAGACGCGGTCCACGAGGAGCGGCACGACGTCGAGGGCCCGGGCGACGCGCGCGTCCGCGGCGAATTTCTCCACCGCGTCGTGGTCGTTCTCCGCCGCGAAGCACTTGAGCGGTGTCCGCCGCGCGCGCTCGAGGCCCGCGAGGAGCGGCTCGAGGCCCGAGGCCAGCGCCGGGCCGAGGGAGCAGCTCGCCGTCGTCGCCGCGGCCGCCAGACCGTCGACCGCCTCGTCGGCCGTCGACAGCACGAGCAAACCCCGGGCGCCGCCCCGCAGCAGCTCGGGGATCTTGGACGCGCCGGCGTCCGTCACCACGGTCAACCCGCAGACCGTGTCGCCGTTGACCTTGCAGTCCACCGACGCGCCGTCCTCGAGCGGCGCGCCGTCGACGTGCCACGACTTCGACGGCCGCTGGAGCAGCGCGATGGCGCCGCCCCGCGGGAGCAGGCCCCGGGCCAGCGCCGGGACGACCAAGCCGAGGCCCAGGCGCCCGCAGCCCACGTGGACGTGGACCGCGCGCGCGGGCGGCGGCGGCGGCCGATCCGCTTCGCCCGGCCGCTCCGCGGATCGCGCGCGCGCGCGGTCCGCGCGCCGCAGGTCCCGCGCCGCCGAGCGGCCCCGCGCGCGCCGGTGCGCCGCGAGGCGCGCGACGGGCAGCAGGCGGAGCGTCTCGACGGTCCAGCCGGGCCGGGACCCGCTGTGCGCGCCCCTGGCCGCGCCCGCGCGGTAGCGCTGGTACTCGAGGCGCCACTCGAGGAGCTCGTTGAACTCGCGCTCCGCCGTCTCGCTCACGCTGCTGTGGGGGTCGCCCTCGTCCTCGAGGGCGGGCCGCAGGGCCGCGTCCTCGCTCGGCTGCTCGCCGTCGGCGCCGTGGGCCTCGCCGCGGCGGAACTGCTGGTACTGGGCCCGGTACGCGACCATGCGCTCGCTGTCCATGTCGTCGGTGACGGCGACGCCGAGCGCGAGCGACTCATTCAATGAAAGGTTCGAGTTGGAGCGGGCGCGACCCATCGTTTCGGTGGCGAACAGGCTCGAAATTCCGCGGCCAGGGACGACGCTTGCAGCCGAGAGAGTGCTTGGCGCTCGCTCGTGCGTGTCTGCGCTGCTGTGGAGATTCCGACCTCAACTACTAGTAGCGGACGGCTCGTCGCAGCCGCGCCGCACCGAGCGCGATGGCGTCGTACTACGCGAACACGGCCAAGGGCGAGGCGGGCGCGGCGCTCGACGCGCGCTACGCCGAGATCAAGGCCGCCCAGGCGAAGCAGCAGGCGCACTACGCCAACTGGCTCGCGAGCGGCACGGTGAACTGCGGCGCGCTCGAGGAGACCGCCGCGTCCCTCGGCCTGTCCCTCGACGTCGCCACGGGCCGCATCTCCTACGCGCCGACCTTCCAAAAGCCGGACCTCGGCGCCGAGCTCTGGTACTGCCGCCACGGCAAGACGGGCGGCAACACGGAACCGCGCGTCTACCAGGGCTACGTCGACGAGCCGCACAACGCGCTCAACGCCATCGGCAAGCAGCAGGCCGAGGACGCGGCGGACAAGCTCGAGACGCTCGGCGTCAAGCCCGACCTCGTGGTCCTGTCGCCGCTGTCGCGCGCGGCGGAGGGCAGGACAAGAGAGCGAAATTCCCAACTTCAAAGGCTCATATCTCGGCCGTTTTCCACTCGTTTTGGCTAATTCTTGGACGAGCGATCGTCTCTCGGAACGGTCTCCAAGCGTGGATGTTTTTTTCGGAACGCGCGCGCGCGGATCACTCACGTTGAAGCGACGTTGAATCACCCTTGTCCTGCCCAGGCGCGGCGGACACGGGCAAGGCGTTCCTCCGGCGCAACGGCTCGGACCGCGTCGCCGTCGAGACGTGGCCGTCGTCCGCGGAGATGCAGTTCGGCGACTGGGACAACATGATGGTCAAGGACATGCCCACGGAGAGCATCTGCCACCTCTTCTACCTCGCGCAGAACGCCGTCGTCAAGTCCGCGGGCCGCTACGTCGACCCCGCGTCCGGCGGCGCGGTGCCCGGCGAGAACTTCGTCGAGTGCCTCGCGCGCATGGCCGGCGTGCTCAAGAGCGTGCAGGGCGCCCTCGCCGCGCTGCCGAGCAAACACGGGCCCAGGCCCGTCGCGCTCCTCTACGGCCACTCCATGGCCGGCGCCGCGCTCTCCATCCTCACGGGCAACGGCAAGACCGTCGACGGCGAGTCGTTCCTCGGCTTCGACGGCAAGTACATCATGCCCAACGCCACGCCCGTCCAGCTGCTCTAGGAGGGGGGGGGTCCGTAAGTCAACTATCATGTGGCCGAGGCGGCGGCGATCGTCCTGCGCGACGCGCGGCGCATCGAGCGGGGGCGCGCGTTTTTGCATCTGCGCGCACGCTGCGTATGCTACCAGTCGGAAGTTTCGACAAGTCCGCGCCGGACCCCTCGCAGGCCTCCAGAGGCAAGATACCGCATCAAGTTGACGTCAACATGACGGGCGCTCGCCCGAACCAAGCTCAGCAGGTTCGCCTTGCTCGAGCACTACACGCGACCGCGAGGACGACGAGAGCGGGAGCGCCTCGCGTGCTCCCTCACCCAACCACGACCATGGCGGCGCGCGAGGCCGTGGCCATCATGAAGTTCGACGACCGGAACCGCTACGGCCAGCACGGCATCCCCGCGACCGTGCTCTTCGGCGGCGGCAAGCGCTGGATCGTCAACTGCAAGCGCCCGACGAAGCACAACCAGTGGGCCAAGGTGAAGCTCCCCGCCGACGACGACGCGCAGTACGCGGACCTCGTCGACATCCTCGGCGACGTCGGCGACCACGCCGTCGAACTCCTGGCGATGCAGCTCCACTTCCGCGTCAAGCCCTGCCGCTACCCGCCCCGCGCGAGCTGGGGCCTCACGGATGCCACCGCGGCCGCCGCGGGCCGCGTCGACGCGCGGGAGCAGGTCGTCTTCAGCGTCGACAACGCGTCGACGCGCGACATCGACGACGCGCTCTCGCTGAGCGACCCCGAGGGCGGCCGGCGGATCCTCGGCATCCACGTCGCCGACGTCGCCGCGCGCATCCCCGCGGGCAGCGAGCTCTACGAGTGGGCGCGGCTCCGCGCGTCGTCGGCCTACAACTCGGGCGTCTTCACGACGGACCCGGACGCGGACTACGCCACCCAGGGCGGGTCGTCCGTGCCCATGCTGCCGCCGGAGCTCGCCCACGACGAGCTCTCCCTGAACGAGGGCGTCGACCGCTTCGCCGTGACGCTCTGGGTCGCCCTGGACTGCTCGGGCGACAAACCGACGGTCGCGCACGAGTGGCACGAGCGCACGGTGATCCGCAACGGCGACGCCACCACCTACGCGAAGATGGGCCTCGCGGCGCCCGCGAGCCCGCTGGGCGCCTGCCGCGACGTGCTGCGCGCCCTGAGCGGCGACGAGGACCCGGAGGATCTCATCGCCTGGACCATGATCCGCTACAACGCCTACTTTGGGCGTTTGATCGCGTCGCAAAAGCGATGGCCCGGCGGCAACCTGAGGGCCCAACGGGAGCCGCTGACGGCGGCGACGTACGTCCGCGGCGACGGCGACGCCGCGGCTCTAGGCCACGCGTCGCTGGGTCTCGACTTTTACGCCCACTGCTCGTCGCCCATCCGCCGCTTCGCGGATCTCGTGAACCAGTACGCGCTCTTCCAACCGGACACTTTCGCGTTCACGACCTGGGGCGACGAAAACCTCGCGGAGCTCAACGACCGCGTCGTCGAGATCAAGCGCTACCACGCGTCCGTCGACGCCATGGAGCTCGCCTACGGCTGCCGGGGCGCGCCGCGCGTCTACAAGGGCCGCGTCGAAGCCGACGACGAGCGCGGGCTCTGCCTCCTCGTGGAGACGGAGAAGCGCCGCGCGCGCGTGCCGCTCCACGACTCCTACTTCGCCGAGCCCATCGTCGACGCCGTGCGCGCGGCGGCGGACGGCGACCGGACCTGGGACGTCGAATTGTGCGGCGTCCTGATCGGGTCGCGGACAGAGCAGGAAAAGGGTGCGAAATTCCCAACTTCAATGGCTCCTAGCTCGGCCGATTCCCACTCGTTTCGGCTGATTTTTGGACGAGCGATCATCTCTTGGAACGGTCTCGAAGCGTGGATGCTTATTCCGGAACGCGCGCGCGCGGAACACTCACGTTGAAGCGACGTTGAATCACTCTTGTGCTGCCCAGGTCCCGCACGCGGCTCCGCGCGCGGCTCGTCGGCGACGGCGTGGCCAAGCCCGAGCCGGGCTGGACGGGGTCGAGCCCCGCCCCGCTGGACACGACGCCCCGGCTCGCGGAGGCGCTGCCCCCGGCGCCCGCGCTGCCGGAGGCGGCCGCGGCGTACCTCCGGGCCGCGGAGGTCGCCGCGGAGGACGAGCGCGAGGCCGCGGAGGAGGAGCTCAAGGACCCGAGCCGCATCCTCAAAGTCGAGGAGGTCAACGCCGTCATCGGCTACCCCATCGACGACTTCCAGCAGCGGTCCCTCGCGGTGATCACGGACCCGGATTTGGACCTCCTCGCGATGGCGCCCACGGGCAGCGGCAAGACGGCCGTCGCGCTGATCGCCATCCTCCAGGCCTTCGCCCGGGGCCAGCGCGCCGTCTACACGTCGCCCATCAAGGCGTTGTCGAACCAGAAGTTCTCGGAGTTCACGCAGTGGTTCCGGGGGCGCGGCATCGACGCGCACGTGACGCTCCTAACCGGCGACGTCAAGATCCGCGCGCCGCCGGGATGCGAGAAGGAGTTGATTATTTGCACGAGCGAGATCCTGCGGAACAAGCTCGTCAAGGCGTCGGGCGCGGACAACGGCGTGCCCGGCGCGGGCGGCGCGGTCCACTTCTCGGCCGCGCAGGCCGCGGCCGCCGCGGGCGACGACGAGGCGCGGAAGGCGCTGGAGACGCTGATCCGCGAGGGCCACACGAACGACCGCGACCCGGATTTGGAGCGGCTCGGCTGCGTCGTCAGCGACGAGATCCACTACATCAACGACGTCGACCGGGGCGCCGTGTGGGAGGAGACGCTCATGCACCTCCCGAAGCACATCCAATTAGTCGCGCTGTCGGCCACGTTGAAGGACCCCCAGAACTTCCTCCACTGGATCGAGTCGGCGCGGAAGCGGTCGGGCAAGCTCGTGCGGCGCCTGGACCGCCACGTGCCGCTCCACGTCGGCGGGCTGTGCCCGAGGACGGGCGCGCTCCTCGAGTTCTACGGCAGGGCGGGAAAAGAGTGATTCAAGTTCGCTTCAACATGAGTGTTTCGCGCGCGCGCGTTCCGGAAAAAGCATCCACGCGTCGAGAGCGCTCCGAGAGATGATCGCTCGTCCAAAAATTAGCCGAAACGAGTGGAAATCGACCGAGATACGAGCCTCCAAAGTTGGAAATTTCGCACTCTTTTCCTGCCCAGGTTCTACGGCACGCACGACTCGCCCGCGCGCAAGGGCGGCGTCTTCGACGACCAGGTCTTCCACAAGCTCCTGTCCAAGGACGCCCTCGAGAAGCGCAACGAGAAGTCCGCGGCCGCCGCGGAGAAGAGCGCCGCGCACCGCGCGGAGCGCGACGCGGAGCGCCAGGCCCAGCGCGACGCCTTCTCCGGCGGCCGCGGCGGCGCGTCCGCCGCGGCGCCGAAGAAGGGCGGCCGCGGCGGCGGCGGGAAAGGCGGCGGCAAGGGCGGCAAGGGCGGCGGCGCGCCCATCAACTTCACGCACGAGTGCCTCAAGCTCGCGCGCGCGCTGGACGCCGCGGACAAGCTGCCGGGCATCGTCTTCTGCATGTCGCGCAAGCTCTGCTGCCAGGGCGCCCACGCCTGCAAGTCGCTGAACTTGCTCTTAGGCACCAAGGGCCCGCGGAAGCCCGACGAGACCGAGGGCGCGGAGGCGCTCGCGGCGTGGGAGGCCGAGGACGAGAAGCGGCAGGGCCGCGCGCGCGACGCCGAGGCGAAGCGCAAGCAGATGCACCGCAAGTACCTCGAGCGCTACATGCCCGAGCTCGGCGAGCTCGAGGCCTACCGCGACATCAACGGGCTGCTGGAGAAGGGCGTCGCGTACCACCACAGCGGCATGCTGCCCATCCTCCGGGAGTACGTCGAGCTCTGCTTCCAGCAGAAGCTGGTCAAGCTCGTCTTCGCCACGGAGACGCTGGCCGTCGGCGTGAACATGCCCGCGCGGACCGTCGCGTTCTCGCAGCTCGACAAGCCCGACGACACGGGCTCGAAGCAGGGCCACCGCTGGCTGCGCGTCGACGAGTTCTGGCAGATGGCGGGCCGCGCGGGCCGCCGCGGCTTAGACGTCGTGGGCTACGTCGTCTACGCGCCGACGCTGTCCGTCGCGGGGCTGCGGAATTTGTGTCCGGTGCACGAGATGAACCGCATGCTCACGGCGGACGTCTGCGCGGCGACGAGCCAGTTGGTCGTCGACCGGCCCTTCGTTTTGCGCCACCTCGCGCGGGGCCACGACGTGTCCGTGCTCGGCAAGACGCTCAAGGCCGACGAGGCGCGGCGCGCGAACGACCTGCTGTCCAAAAAAATGGGCGCCGCGGACGGCGAACAAGACGCGCACGCGGCGGCCTTCGAGCGCTTCAGGGCCGTGGAGGCGAAGCTCGACCCGGCGAAGACGGGCGCCATCGGCGTCTCCCTGAAGCAGAAGGACCTGAAGAAGTTGCAGCGCGAGAAGCGCGAGCTGCAGGATAACTTCCCGGGCGGCGCGTCCGCGTTCCTCGACGCGTTCCACGCCTACGGCGCGCGGGACCGCCAGGCGGCGGAGATCGAGGCGAACAAGACGGCCCTCGCCGGCGACTGGCATTCAGCGGCCGAGTGGCTCGAGTACGCCGCGTTCGTCGACGCGAACGGCGAGCTCACGCCGCGGGGCAGATGCGCGGCGGCTTTTGCGGACGGCGAGCCCTTGATCGTGGGCACGTGCATCGCCGACGGCGCGCTCAAGGCGCTGACGCTCCAGGAGGTCTGCGCGTGGATCTGCCTCTTCATCCCGGACCGGAGCGGCAACGCGGAGGACCCCCTGCCCGGCGACAGCGCGAAGCCGTCGCCGAACCTGCTGGCGACCTGCGCCTACGCCGACGAGCTCGCGCTGCAGCTCGACCAGGACCCGCCGCCGCGGCGCCTCATGGGCATGATGCTCGACTGGGCCGCGACGAAGGACATCCACCGCGTCGCGCGCTGCGTCGACCCGCACCTCCTGGGGTCCTTCGTCAAGTCCGTCATGCGCGTGCTGTCCTACGTCGACGTCGTCCGCGAGGTGCTGCTGGGGCTCGGCGAGTACGAGACGCACAACGCGCTCGACCACCACACGGACGCGCTCGTCTGCGGCCTCGTCACGAACGAGAGCCTCTACCTCCGCATCGAGGAGTAAAAAAGTTACAACACGTCCTCGTCGAAGTCGAAGGCGTCGCCCGCGGGCATGGCCGGGCCCTCCATGGCGCCGGGCTCGTCGTCGTCGGGCGGCGCGTCGCCGCGGATGCGCTTCCGCTCGAGCTCGATGTCGTGGAGCCGCGCCGTTAGGGCGCTGTGGTCGATGATCCGCTGGTTGAACTGGTTGATGAGCTCCATGGCCTGGCGGTCGAGGTGCGCGCACGGGTCCGGCGCCGGGGGCACGCCGACGTAGATCGTGTCGCCGAGGCCCTCTGTTTCTAAAAGCTTGCTGATGGGCGTCGCCGGGTCGAGGGGCGCGCCGCGGTTCTTGAGCATGAGCCGCAGCTGCTTCGGGTCGAGGCTCGCCCGGCGCCGCTGGTTGTAGGTCTGCGTGAAGAACTTGACGAGCTTGGCGGCCGGCGTCGGCTTCTCGAGCCATTTCGCGGGGATGGCGCACTTGACGCCCAAGCACAGCTCCGGGTCGTCGCAGGGCTCGTAGCGGATCGTGATCTTCGTCAAATTCATCTTCGCCATGGCGAGGGCCAGCGCCTTGCGGCCATCCTCCTGGGCCTTGGCGAGCTCCAGCTCCTTCGCCTTGCCCTTCGACTTTTCGAGCTCCTCTTTGGCGCGGGCGAGGCTCGCCTTGTGGGCCGCGGACAGCTCCGCGTCGTCGTCGTCGCCGGACTCGGGCTCGACGCTGTGGGCCTGCATAGGTGGAAGACGACTTGCGACGACGGCGGTGGATGTGAGCCACGGGCTGTGTTGTGGTAATTCAGCGAACTTGCAGGTCAACAACGCTCGTTGAGGCCTGCGCGAGACGATGCTCCGGCTCCTCGTGCGGCGCACGCGGCCCATCGCGCCGCGCCGCAACCCTTTTGGGAGCTGCGCGCCGTCGAAGCCGCCCGCGCCGAAGCGGAGCCCCTACGTCGTCCTCGGCGTCGACAAACACTCCTCGGAGGCGGAGATCAAGGCGGCCTTCCGCCGGCTCGCCATGCGGCTCCACCCGGACACGCGCGGCGCCGACGTCGAGGACGGCGACGCGGCGCTCGCCGAGGTCGTCGACGCCTACGGCGCGCTCACGGACGCGGCCTTCGGCGCGGAGCATCTGGTCGCGGCGGCGTGCGAGATGTACAGCCTCCGCGAGCTCCGCGACGACGCGTTCCACGACGTCCACGACGTCGTGCTGCTCCTCGAGCAGGAGCTCCTCGGCGGCGACGACGCCGTCAAGGCGGGCATCGCCACCGAGCTCCGCGTCGAGGCCGCGGCGGTCGTCGCCGGCGGGAGCCGCTTCGCCGTCAACTGCTCCGAGTACGACGCGGTGTCGGACGTGAAGCGCGCCATCGAGGCGGCCCGCGGCGGCGACTGGGCCCTCGAGGGACGGCCGCGGGACCGCGACGACCTCTCGACGGGCTGGGAGCTCGTCGGCGCGGACGGCACGCCGCTCTCGAACCACTTCTTCCTCCTCGACTACGGCCTCCGCCGGGACGACGTCATCCACGCCGTCGTGCGGCGGCGGGCCTAAGCCTTAGGACGCCGCGGCCCGCGGAATTTCATGGGGGGGGGACGTGAGAAGGGCGCCGAGCGGTCACGTCACGGCGACTCGGATAGGCTTCCCGCGCCGTGCGTTGAACATTCATTTCGGTGGTGGCGAGCGCTGACGCAGTCGGCGTTCCACTTCCGCAAGCACTTCAATGCCCCCCTTGTCGCCCTTTGCGGCCGCTCGCTGTAGAAGGGGCAAGGCTTTCGCGATGTCGACGCTCAGGCCACCTTGGCCGGTCAAGTAGAAGGTGCCGAGCGTATACTCCGCAAAGGTAAGGCCCTGTTCAGCGCTTAATGTCATATAACGAATGGATTCGTTGTTATGCGAGGTGTGTAGTCCTTCGTCGATCTGTGATTCGCGAATCTCCATTTGAAGCATTACTTCGAACTTGCACTGCGCACGTGCATGCCCAATGTCCGCTGCCATCTTGAAAAGCTGTTTCGCCTTGGCATTGTTCTGCTTGACACCTTGACCAGAGAAGTAGAGCTCCCCAAGACGAAACATCCCTTCCGCATCTCCGAGCTCCACCGCGCGCTTGAAAAGTTTCGCAGCATTCTTGTCAGACTTGACGAGACCCAACCCACCAATGACGTATTCATTTCCCAAAAACGTGATTCCTTCTGCCAAATCGTTCTCCACGTGGCGACGAAGTCGCGCAAGAGTCTCCGCTGTAGATTTCGGGTACGGTGTCCGACAGAGAGGACATGGCTTGTCGGGCGTCGTGACGAACGCAAGAGTCTTACGTTTGCACGATGAGCAGATCGACCGGCAGCAACAGCACATAAGAATTTTGTGTTCATTCACGTCCCAATTCTCGAGGCAGAGCGGACACCGCGACCCGTACCGCGCCGAAATTGGCTCCCGCTCCGGGTTCGCCTCGCGCCGCGCGCGAGCGGCCTCGTGCTCCGCGGCGATGCGCGCGCGGACCTCGTCGGCGTGCGACCGCGGCGCGGGGCCGTAGAAGACGGGCTTCGGGGGCGACGGCGGCGCCTCCGCCCGCGCCGCCTCCGCCGCCCGCTCGCCCCGGATCTTCTTGCACGCCTCGCGGTGCCCTCGATCGCGCCAATCGACCTTTTGGCACGCGACCGAACAGTATTGCGTTGTTCCACAGGGGCACGGGAGCTTTGACTTGGCGCCGCAGATCGTGCAGGTAGTGCGGAGTCTCAGGGCTTTCGCCCTAGCTTTGACCTGCTCGAATTCTCTTTGCTTCTTCTTCCACTCAGGCTCGTCGCCCTCCTCTTTCTCTGGTTTCATCTTGTCGCCGTGTGCGTCTCCGGCCATGGCGGTGCGTTATGCGCTGAGGGGGTAAGCGATTCGGGGCGCCGCGGGGC